TTAAAACTCAACAATAAGAAAACAAACAACCTGGGCCAAAGATCTTAACAAAGATCTCCCCAGGGATGATATACAGGTGGCAAATAAGCCTATGAAAAAATGTTCCACATCCTATATCTAGGGAAATGCAAATTAAAACAACCACCATCTCCCACTACATGCCTGTTAGGATGACCAAAATCAAACAACGATGACACCACAGCTGATGAGGATGTGGAGAGATAGGAACTTTCATTTGTTGCTGGGGGGATGCAAAATAGTACAGCCATTTTGGAAGACTGGTTGGCAGTTTCTCACAAAGCTAAACATATTTTTATCATACAATCCAGCAACTGTGCTCCTCAGTATTTACCTAAAGGAGTTAAAAACTTATGTCAATACAAAATCAAGCACATCGATGTTTTCAGTAGTGTTTTTTATAATTGCCAAAACTTGGAAGCAACGAAGATGTCCTTCTTTGGTGAATGGGTAAACTATGGTACACCCAGACAATGGAAGATTATTCAGAGCTAAAAAGAAATGAGCTATCTAGCTATGAAAATACATGAAGAGATCTTAAATGCATATTACTAAGAGAAAGAAGCCAATGTGAAAAGTTTACATATTGATACTATATGATTAACTGTATGGCATTCTAGGAAAGGCAAAATCATGGAGACAGTAAAAAGATCATTTGTTAATAAGGATTCGGGGCAGGGAAGCATGAATAGGCAGAGCACAGAGGATGTTTAGGGCAGTGAGAATAATCTGTATGGTACTCTAATGGAGATATCTGTCATTAGACCTTTGATCAAACAAAAGAATGTACAACACAAAGAGTGAACCTAATGTAAACTATGTACTTTAGGTGATTGCTTACTGTGAAATGCTTGTCAAAACTCTTCAAACTATGCATGTAAATTTGTGGAATTTATTGTATGTAAATTATACTTTAAGAAGAAGATATTGTTTCCAATTAAAAATGGAAACAATATCTCAGGGAACACCATAATCAATAATGGTTTAATATTTAAAGATCAAAATGAGAAAGACAAACCAAACAGAAAAAAAAAAAAGAAAAATTGGACAAGAGACGGAGCAAGCATTTCAGAGAAAAGGAAATAGGAAATGGCCCATAAACGTATGCAAAGATGTTCTTTCTTGTGTGAAATCAGAGAAATGCAGATTAAAATGACAAGTAGATACCATTTCATCCCTACAAGATTGGCAGAACTCATGTACTGAAGAAGGGTAGAGAAAACAGAACTTGACAGAATGCTGGGGAAAGAGTGAGATGTGTGTGAACATGTTAGACAAATGGATATTATCTCTTTGCAGGTGAAGCCAGGCAATGCATTTGACTCAGCAGTTCCTCTCAGGTATAGAGACTGAATGCATTCCTGTTTGTGTACACCAGGAGAGTAACAAAAATGTGTTCCAAGTGGCATTGCTTGAAACAGCAAAAAGCTGAAAACATCCTAGATATTTATCAAGGGAGAATGCATGAATAAATTGTGGTCATTCCTCTGTTGGAATACTATACTTTGGCAAAATGAATTAACCATGGCTTCATGCATCAACCACAGTGAATCTTCAAAGAACATGATGTCGAATGATAGAAGTCAGTTTCTAAAGAACTTGAAGAGTGTGATACTATTCATAGAGTCCTTGAGAATACAAAACCTTATCAAGTTTAGAGATAGTTATTATTTAGTTATACTTTAGTGAAAGCTACTTCCTTGTGGCTCAGATGGTAAAGAATCTGCCTGCAGTGCGGGAGACCTGGGTTAGATCCCTGGGTCGGGAAGATCCTCTGGAGAAGGGAATGGTTACCCACTCCAGTAGTCTTGCCTGGGAAATCCCACGGACAGAGGAGCCTGGGAGGTTATAGTTCATGGGATTGTGAAGAGTTGAACACGACTGGGAAACTAACATTTGTGAAAGCAAGGCACTAATAAACTCAAAATTCAGTATTACGGGGCTTCCTTGGTGGCTCGGATGGTAAAGAATCCACCTGCAATGTGGTTAGACCTAGGTTTGATTTCTGGGTTGGGAAGATCTCCTGGAGAAGGGAACGACTATCCATTCCAGTATTCTTGCCTGGAGAATTCCATGTACAGAGGAACCTGGCAGATGGAAGTCCATGGGGTCTCAAAGAGCCGGACACGACTGAGCGAACTTCACTTTCACTTAGGGAAAGGGAGAGAGGATCTAAAGGGAATTTTAAGGATCTGTTTCTTCACTTGGATCCTGGATATGTTTATTTTATAATCCTGTGTACTGTGTAGATGCATTTCCTGTGTTTTTGTGTATATGTTATTTTCACGAGAAACAATTTAAAAGGACTTTTAAAAAGTCTTAGAAATATATACAGAGCACTTGACCTAGTATCCTATGTGTGGCAGTGCAAACACATCACAAGTTAAATGAAGATCAAGCCTGTGCTGAGCTGAGGTGGAGCCTTCAACCACAGGCCAGAGCCCTTCATTTGTGATGCAGGCAGCCGCTTGGGGAGTTTGGGCAGCAAGTGCTGGATCCAGGCAGCTGTAGCTCTAGTCTCTGGGTGGGCCCAGCAGAGGGCGAGGCTCTGCCAGGGCAATCTAGAGACCTAGGAGGGTCATAGAGCAACAGCCCTGGTGAGCAACCTGAACCAAGCCCACAGCCTGACTTTCTTTTCCCGGTTCTGGCACCACCCAGGGCAGAGGGAGGGACCACAGAAAATGGCTGCAGATGGCTTTCTGGCCAGCCTCGGCAAATGAGGGGCTTACATGGGACTTCAACTGATATTGAAAAAATGATGCTGTATTTCTTGCACCTTGAGACTGCATGTGTGCAAGCTCGGTCACTCAGTCCTTTCTGACTCTCTGCGATCCCATGCACTGTAGCCTTCCAGGCTCCTCTTTCCATGGAATTTTCCAGGCAAGAATACTGGAGTGAGTTGCCCTTTCCTACTCTAGGGACCTTGAGAGTAATGGATTATTAATCCCTATCCAACACCGGGGAAGTGAATCCTCAGCAAGACAGTGATTTTGTAATAGGACATGCATGACAGTATTATTTATAATGTCAAAAGTGAGGATGTTTATATCTAAACCTAGAAATCTAAGTATATATAATATACTTACATGAGATATATATACCTATATATCTTGTATGGGCTTCCCTGGTGGTTCAGATGGTAAAGAATCTGCCTGCAGTGCTGGAGACCTGGGTTCGATCTCTGGGTCAGGAATATCCCCTGGAGAAGGGAATAGCTACCCACTACAGTATTCTTGCCTGGAGAATTCCATGGACAGAGGAGCCTGGCAGGCTACAGTCCATGGGGTTGCAAAGAGACACGACTGAGTGACTAACACACGCACATATCTTATATATCATACATACTTTTACATTTCATAAATAAACATTTTCATGTATATAGTATACAAATACAAAATGTATACTATACAAATATATGCTTATATAATATATTTAATATAACATAACAAAAATTATATATAACTATTATACTAGAATATATGTAAATATATTCATAAATATTTAAATTCCAATCCACTTTTTGAAATTATATTTTTCTCATGAATGTCCTCTTAAATATTTTGATAATTTATGAATAAAATTACATATAGATAAAATTTATATGTAAAAATTTTATAAATATAAAAAATTTTATATAAAAATGCTTACTGATGCTATATATTAAAAAAATGCTTACTGATGTTACTGGTGGTCATGAGATTATAGGTTTTTTTTTTCTTTACTTTGTATGGTCTGACTTTTCCACAGGGTTTACAAAAATGTGTATTGCTTATTAAAAATTAAATTTAGTAACTGGTGATTGATTTCAGGGAAGATTCATAATTCATAATGAGATTGACACCTGCTTCTCTGTGCATCTGAGAGCTTCTGGTCTTGTCCAGCTACTTGCAGGGCTTTGCTGGGTGGGGGCCTGCTGTGGTCTGGTCTGCGGTTTCCATAGAGGGAGGCTTGCTCCAAGGCCATGTAGTTTCTGGTCCTGAATTGTTTTCCCAGCTTTCAGAGCCCTTTCCCAAAGCTTCAGTGACTAATCTGAATGATTAATAAATGACTCCCTCATAGTTCTTGTCATTTAGACAGAAACAGCATAAATCAAAAGTTGTGGGTAAGAAAGATTTCAGACTGAGTTTCCAAGGATCCGTACCTGAAGGTTGAGTGGTGGGAGTTCACGCATGGTGAATAGCAGTGGTGACCACACACTGAAAGTGCCATGTTGCCGGGAGGTGCCAGTCTGTGGGATGGAGGGAACCTTTGGTGAAAGACTGTCAGACTTTCTTTCCTTTTGATCTGGTGGCTGGAAAGTGAAAGTGAAGTCGCTCAGTTGTGTCCAACTCTTTGAGACCCCATGGACTGTAGCCCACCAGTCTTCTCCATCCATGGGATTTTCCAGGCAAGAATACTGGAGTGGTTTGCCATTTGCTTCTCCAGGGGATCTTCCCAACCCAGGAATCGAACCTGGGTCTCCCACACTGCAGGCAGACTCTGCCATCTGAACCACCAGGGAAGCTGGTGGTTGGGGTCACTCTGAAGTGCAAAAGAAGAAGAGGTTGTTTTTCAGGGATGTCTTCTCCCATTTCACGAGTTAGGTCTTTGTTCCCCAAGAGTGAGTCTTAACTCGTGAAAGATACATGGCCTGACTATGGACTGATGCCACGGAGGGAAATGAAGGAGAGGGGAGAAGAGGAGTGCACGTGGGAGGGATACAGTTGGGTGGGAGCAGAGCACAGAAGCAAAGCCATTTTAGATAAGAAGGCTGGAGAAAGGTCTGGTGGACAAATATGAATGGCACTAAAATAATAAAAAAATAATAAAATAAATAATTCAATAAAAAATAATAAAAATAATAAAATAATAAATAATAAAATAAATAATAATAAAAAATAATAAAAAAATAATTCAAGGTCTCTGTTTTATTGAATGCTTACTTTATACTAGGCAGTTGCTAGGATGCTTCTTATAAGGACTTCATTTCATCCTTTTCCGTGACTTATTTGAGATAGGTGCTGGTGTCACCCTTAACAGGCAGGAAAGGTGACTTTCTACCCCTTCTCAGGGGTGGCACTTAGGTGAGATTTGAACTCACCTATTCCCTCTGCTGTGTACCAACAGCGAGCATCATTCTTGTTACATGGTAGGTTTTTGCTGAAACTGCTTAACACCTGGACAGAAACAGATGCAAATATGATTTATTTAGAGCTTCTAATTTCCAACAGGACAGACTATTTTTTCATCAGTATCTCAATCACTGGAAAAAAAAACAAAACATTTTACACCAAGGACGTGAAAAGGGGAAGTGAAACTGCCCAATACCACCCACCAGCAGGACCAATGCACTTTTGGGGTTGTTGTTTCTGTTGGCCCATGTGCACAACAGCATATATTTTGAATACATACAGCTGAAATCCCACTACTGATGGAATTTTCTAGTGAACTTGAATAATGACACAATCAAAAGCCATAAGGTAAAAAAAAAGATATGACAACTGTCTTGTAAATCGAGCAAACTAATAGCAAAGTTAATATTGATGGAGAAGTTTAAGTTTAGAAGGGCCAAGAATGACACAGAATTCTTTATCATAAGCTAAAATCATGTCAGTAAATAAATAACATAATTTTCTAGCATGTAATTAAAATCCAATTTACCTCTAGGTAATTTTCACCTAAATGAGATTGGAAGTGAAACTCTTGACCATATACCATATATTTCTTTGCTGGGGGAAGAGGTGAACCCAGGTCCTATGACACTGCTCACCAGCTGTGGGACCCTATTTGGTACTGAATTCCTCTGAGCCTGGATTTTCTCATCGATAGAATGAGGTTTGTCATCTTTATCTCACGGGACTGTTAGGACTGTTAAGGAGAAATCACGCACACCAATGGCTGGAAACTGCAGACTGTGTTCCATAAACAGCAGGGAAGAGGCACCCTTGTGAGCTGGGTGAGAAAGACAGTCTCTCCCAATGGGTGGGAGCTCTCTGAGCACTTGGTTTATTTGATCACATTGGCCAGCTTCCATCTAAGGTCTGAGTGGGCTAGTCTCAGGACAGTTGTCTTTTGACTTGTAAAGAGATCTAGGGTTGGAATTCTGAGCAAAGTTACTTGTCAAGTTATTTGCAAAGAGGAAACCAGCCACTTGGATAAAGATGTTAAGAATAGCACTAGCTTATGAGTTTGACAGCCCTGGTTTCAAATTCTAATGATCTTTAGTTACTTAACCTTTTTGAGCATCAGTTTCAACATCCTTAATATGATCATTTAACCAAAATTGATTAAGCACTTTTGTGTGTGTCAGCCCTGTAGATAGAGCTGTGAGCAAGACGGACAAGGCCCCCAGCATCTTGGGGAAGATGGATAAGTAAATAGTGTGATGCTGCGATGACCTAAAAGCCAGAACAAAGATCCTGATTTGGGGTCAATGCCAGGTCATTCAATCCGCACAATATGACATAGCATTATGTGACTTCCCTGGTGGCTCAGATGGGAAAAGCGTCTGCCTACAATGATCCCTGGGTCAGTAAGATCCCCTGGAGAAGGAAATGGCAACCCACTCCAGTACTCTTGCCTGGACAATCCCATGGACGGAGAAGCCTGGTAGGCTACAATCCATGGGGTCTCAAAGAGTCAGACACGACTGAGTGACTTCACTTTCACTTTATCTGTAAATATACAGTGTCGGCTGGTAACTGATAAGTGATCCAGGTGCATTACGAAGATCAGAAGAACAGCTCGACAAGCTGGAGAACTAAAAGAACCCTTTCTAGATCATCTGGTTCTCTCTAGCTTTCTAATCAGATGACTGGTACATAGCTGGTTGTCTTGGGGGCTTGGAGAACTTGTTAAAAGGACACATTCTTGGGTTTCATACCCTGAGGAAGCCAATTCAGTAGGGGAAATGAATCTACATTTTAAAAGCATTTTCTAGGTGATTCTAATCTAGCCTAATCCCATTCAGAAATGAAGAGACTGAGCTTCAGGAAACGTGAGTTGCCAGGCCAGGCAGCAAGTAGAAGGTCTCCTGAAGGGATTGGGAGAATGAGGTTGGGGAAGAGGCCAGATGGAGGGTGTCCTGGGGGCACAACTCTTTAGGGGGTGTTCAGCATACGCACTCCATCATTTCCAGCTTCTGCATTTCTTCGGAGCCTCTTAAATGTTGGCAGCCAAGGAACTGATGGGGAACCATATCCTGCTTTTTTTTTTTTTTTTGAGGCAGGAGCCTGGACTTCGGTGGGGTGTGGGAGGCTGGGCTGCCAGAATGACTGGGGCTTGCTCTGCCTCGGCTAACAGAGAAATTGGAAAGCCAGAATGGGAAGTTACTGTGCGATCTCTTCTTCTAATTCAATTCTGCACTGATATCCGGGATGTCAAATCACCGTGAAGATGAGATGACAACATGGCCATTGAGCCTGTGTCACAGTCTGTTATTTTCAAATGTGTGTGAAGATCCTTAATTGTGTTGACACCCATTAGGTCTCCCTCCCCAGGCAGCTCCACGAGCTGCTTGAACATGCTGTAATTAAGTCTCTTCATTCTGTCCTTGTGCCTGTAGTCCAAGGTTGTGCAGCGTCAGGCACTGCGCAGACCTTGACTGCGACGGTCTCATTTCTGCAGTGTCTACTCAATAGGACAGGCACGCCTTTTTCCTCTTTCTGCTTCTGCTCATATTTGGCCCTGGTAGTGCAAAGGGAGAATGGGCTGATTAATTTACAGTGACAAAATCTTTTGGACCCGGGCCATGATTGACTGAGAGGATACCAACACTGTCTCCAGGATTCCTTGCATAGCTTGTACAAATAACATCCATTGTACCATGGATAGCTGATGCAGCCAGTTCTGTCTTGCATGTTGAATTAGTCGAGTGGTATAGGGCAAGCTTGGGAAGAGTTTCAACTGCTCCTTGTCCACCAGATTGGGAATAAAGGGAATAAAGGATTTAATGATGAAAATTATTATTATTAAATTGAATATGCAACACAGTTATGTCCTTCATTCTGATGCTTAGCCACATTAAACACAGCATCCAGTTCCATCGTGTTCATTTCTAATGGACCATCTAAACATTTTTCTTACAAAAGTGAATTTGAAATTTCTATAATTACTTGAAATGGAGGTGATAGGCTAGAGCACAGGTTTTCTTTTAAAGTAGGAATTTTAAAAATATATTTTCATGTTATAAACAGCCAGAGTTTTGTTGATGTTTTGTTCGACTATATATATTTATTTTTCTACAGTTGCCACACCTAATATCAATGGAGGAAAAGAGAGATGTGATATTTAGGATATATTTTTGTGGTGGGAGGGAAAAGTGATTATGGTAATATCCATTCTCATTATAGTGCTATATTTGTTAGCTCTTTGCTTTATGAATGTCCTAAGTGTGTAAGTCACCTTATATAATTTCGTCCTTTGATGAAACTGTATGGCAGATAGTATATCCAATTCACAAAGGAACAGAATGAAGTTCAGTAGGTTAAATACCTTTCCCAAGATCAGAGGCCCAAAAAGTATCAGAAATGGTGCAAAATTCAGGCTCATCTGTCTTCAAGTTCATGTTCTTTAAGGAAAATGATAATAAAGCTATTGTGGGGATGTTTTGGTTTTCAAAATATTCTCCCTTTTCCCCAGTAGTTGAAGCAAATTTTTTCTTATTTATTTTCCCTTCATACTTCATTTCCTTGATTTTAAAGTACACTGTAAATTTAATGCTGCCATTTTTTTTCAGTGAAAAATAAACTTGTATTCCATTGTTGGTACATATTAAATATTAGAAAGTCCAATTTCAAAAATACTAGATTGCGGTTGTAATATTATGCTTGTCATTTTGTTATTTATGGTGCATTTTCAGATTAAAGAAATGTGGTAAGTGCTGCGTATGTCAAGGGTGAAGGACCTTGTTTCTCGTTGTCCCCAAGGGTGATGCAAAAACAGTAAAGGGTTTTTGCTGAGAGACCAGATTGCTCTGATTTGTGATGTAGAGAGTTACTCTGGCAGTTCAAGAGGGCTCAGGTAGGGGATAGAGGCCAGAGAGAGGGAGGCTGAGGGAGGCCCACTAGGTGATGTCCACAGCCTAGGTGGCACAGCCCAGGTGGCGCTAGTGGTAAAGAATCTGCCTGCCAATGCAGGAGAGGAAAGAGATGCAGGTGCAATCCCTGGATCAGGAAGATCCCCTGGAGTAGAAAGTGGCACCCCATCCAGTATTCTTGCCTGGAGAATTCCATGCAAGAGGAGCCTGGTGGGCTACAGTCCATGGGGCTGCAAAGAGTCAGACGCAACTGAGTGAGCATCACACACAGCTCAGTTGAGAGGTAAGCCCTGGCCATGGTCCTGAGCTGGAGAGGAGGCGATGGATTGGCTGTGAGAAGGAAGTGGACTGGGCTGGATGGGGTGATGAGTGGAATATTCTGGTACAGGAGAGGGAGTGCTGGGGTGACTGTTCTGTCTCTGGCTAGAAGACGGTGAATGGGGTGCCCCGGGAGGACTGACGTGGGACAGGAGAAGGAAGAGAAAGAGGAAGCCTGGGGACTTCTTCAAGGTGAAGTCAGACTTTTAGCCACACCTCTGGCCCACTGTTCATTCTTTTTTTTTTTTTTCCACTGTTCATTCGTCACCCGCAAAGGAGGAATGAGGTCTTAGGGGCCTTCAGATTCATTTAGATTTGATGAGATATGCAACAGGGAGCAAGCTTCTAGGAGCAATTTTGTGCAGGCGAACCTTGATTTGATAAGAAATAGGAGATGATCAATTGCATTTTCTTTGCTATCCCTTTAACTCCCCAGTTCATTCTGATTTTATGATCCTGTAATTAACCAGATAATTAAACAAATGTAAATAGCCATTTCATAATGTGGCACCATGCTTTGGCGCTACCTTTATGTTGAATTCTCATTAACAGCCTGAGTTATTTCTCATTTACATGCAAGAAAGTACAGGAACCTGGTGCTCACAGAGAGCTGCAAAAAGTAGCTTAATTTTTTACAGAGGTAAATGGATGAAACCATACGTTAAAACTCTGTGTGTGTGTGGCAATATTCTTTTGTTAAAAACACCTTACTGTGCTTAAGATTGACCCTTTTGCATCCATTTTATGAGTTTTTGTTAAGGAGCATGGCCTACTATTTTATTAAAATTATCTTATTTCTGGGTTTTCCTGGTGACTCAGATG